GCATCAGCTTGTAGATGGTATTTTAAACTCGATGCGCTCTGAAACTACGGGGTGGCCGAGGAAAAAAAATACACATGCGTTAATCTCGTTAAAATAATTAGTGGCGTACATTTTTTTTTATTATCGGTTATCGGTATCGGTCTTGAGAAGCAGGAAGTTATCGGTATCGGTTTCAAAAAACCAATATCGTGCCTCCCTAGTAATCAGATGAAAATCTAGCAATAATAAGGGCCAGCTAACCAATCAGAGCAGACTGGGCTCTGGTTTCAGACAGAGGGTGAAAAGAGGTGCTGCAGCACAGGCAGTATGAGAAAAATAAAGACCTTTTTGAACGTTCGAGCATCGAAACATGTCACAGTAGAGGCAAAGAATAAAATATGAACCTAAAAGCGAGTAGAATAGGGCCTCTTTAAGTATACACCATCAAAGATTCATAGCTGGCAATGCAGGGAAAGTGTGGTCCATACATTTGAGATTTCTACAAGATTATAATTTAGCATGATATTAATACATATCATTATATATTGAACATATTAAAAAGGTGGTTGTTGGCTGGTGATATTGGGTTGTTTTCTATGAATTTGGAGTAATAACCTCAGTATTTCTATACCAGATCCAGAACTTATAGCCCTGAGAGGATTACGATATAAAAAAAGAAGAAGTTGCAAGAAAAAAAGGTAGGAAATCAGATGAGGCAAAGATTAGGTCATTATAAAGCAAAGCAACTGCTGAGCACCACATATCACGTACCATGGTGCCGGGCGTGGCTCCACAGATGGCGTTCACAGGTTAGCTTGCTAGCATTAGGGGGGAGTGGGGGCTTGTTTTCTGTTGAGAAGGCAATATGTCCCTCTGACGGCAGTGAGGGGCTTGTGCCAACTGGCAAGAAAAGAGAGGGATATTTAAAGATGGGAAGAACGGAGGACAAGATAAAAAGAGGAGTCATGTAAGAGGTCGGTGATGAAAGGAGGGACAGAAGGAATAAATAAAGAGGGAGATAAAAAAGGAATAGGGAGGGTTAGAAGGTCAGATCTATTGAATGAAAGGACTTAATGAATTTATTAAGGGAATAATCACAGGAGAAAAGAAAAGGGAAAGGTGAATGCGATAAGATGGAGGAACTAGTCAAAAGGATTGTGTAAAATAGAGATGGAGTTAGGAAGGAAAGAGAAACGAAAAGAAAAAACACAGGAGAAAAGGGCCAGTGAAGAAGGTATGTGGTGTTATAGAACAAATATCTGCTTCTAAAAGGCCCAAGACCAATTAGATTTTAAAATATCATCAAAATTCTCCAGATGAGACATTCCTCGGATCATCGATGAACCACGTCCACATCTCAAAGCGATGCTTAAGGCGATGAAAGCTTTGGGAAACAAACCCTCTTCCCGCAGTCTGCAGAACGACTGCTGGACTGATAAAGATAATTAGCTTATGCGGCGGGTAAGAAAACACACACACACACACACACACACACACACACACACACACACACACACACACACACACACACACACACACACACACACACACACACACACACACACACATTGAGAAAAGGCCTGCAAGAGACTGTCTGTTAATGTACTGAGGGGAGGAGGAGAGGATAGAAGGAGAGATAAGCAGAGATGCAGTGGGAGAATAACAGAGGACGGGAGAAGAAAAGGAAAAGGGAGATTACAGGGAAAGACCTTGGCCCATAAACGAAGGAAAGTCCTTGTACTACACACACATATTTTACGTCACACATATGCGCACAGGGCTGGCAGGCAGGCAGTGTGAAGTGTGACACATCCTGTAAGCCTGGGCAGAGCAGCATGCACCAATTCCTAAAACCAAACCTGCAATTCTAGGTCACACACATCCATTTACCTTCACTCTGTCTGAATGTATGATTTGAGTTTGAGTTTATATTACGCTTTTGGCCAAAAAGGAAACTGTGCACATTTTTTGGAGACCAGCTTGCACAGAATGTTTGCTCGTCAGAAAATAAACAGCTGTGTTTTCAGTTTCATTGCACCGATTTGTCCTAAGTTCTAAGTCTATGTTTTGCTTTTAAACCTAAAAGGACCCGAACAAATACATGAATCTGGCCCGAAGTTGCATAAAGCCAGATTGTTACTACGGTACTCCTAACACATACCTCCCTACCTCCATCCTTTATGACATTAGAGTTGAGGGGGCCACATCTGAATATTCTCCGAAACCAAAAATCCCATTAGCACGCCGACTTTAAGCAGTTATTGACCAGATCTGCACAGGAGAGATTATAGGCAGGTTTTCTTATTATTTTTCTCAAGCTATCTTTCGCCATTCCTCACCCTACTACTAACTTTGCTTTGTATGGATGTATGAACTAAGGGGTGCAACATTATAAGAGACACTGTATGAAAGTGTTTTTGCCACTGCAACGCCCCTGTATTTCACATAATAGTGCATGCCCCATGTACTAAAGCTGAGTTCTTACCAAAGAGAAATAATACAAACCGCAGCCCTTCGCTGCTGATGGATCTGTACTGTATTATCAAAAGAGACAAAACAAGACAAAACCAATATTTGGAGTTCTCTTATCCCAATGTGTAGAATTCAGACGCATTACAACTATATCAAGCTACTTCCACCATTGCTTCTCAGAACCAACAGTCATTAAAAATACAGCCACAAGAGGTCGCTTGTGAAACAAAGATACCTCTAAATTGTAATGACTCCAATGCAAATAAATAGCAAACAGGGCAGATTCATAATCTCCTTGGTTAAAATCAATTGTTCACTTCAGAACTGCTGTACAACTCTAAGTCCACTATCTTTGACTTCTACTAAATACTATTATCTAAACATTGATAGCGATGTTTTCCAATGCTTGTTAAAATGTGGTTATAGGCCTAGGTTAATCTCTTTAAAATCTTAGAGATGGGCTGTTATCTCTCCGGTGGACAAATATACCTCAAGGACTTTACTGTACAGTAGCCCTGGTGCAAACTGCAGCTCTGACCCTACCATGTTGGTGACTCATACTGTCAATCAGGCGTTTGAAAAAGCGAAGTGTGTGATTTATTTTCCATTACCTCAGAGAGATGTAATGCTTCACATCTTATACAACCAGAGTGTACATCTGTAAACATCTCTAGAGAACTAAAAGGCCAAAAGGATACCTGACCTTCTGTTCTGACCCACTACTGGGCCTTCGAGCCTCCTATGCCAGAGTCCTAAACTTATTTTTAAGAGGGTATTATACATTATAAAACGGAAAAGTCAAATCAAGCAATCTGATTGGTTCTTAGCCGTGATATAATGAGCGTATACCACGGGTAGAATTGTAGTTACTTTTCACAACAAGTCAGTATCCCTCTGCGTCTGAAAAAAGCTACAACCGTTACAACTGTTACATTACGTCCATTACGAAACTAACTAACTAGCAAAGCTTAAGATGGAAGCATGTAAGGGATAATGTGCAGCAAGGACTTATTGACCGTTGTTAAAGGACGCTCACATCTGCAGAAAGAAGTCCGGTCGATTTAACTGTAGAGTGGCGAAGTCCCTCCCCTTCCGGGGGACCTTATTTCGGAAAAATCATGTATTGAAGTCAATGGAGAGAGAAAGATTATCTTTTGATCCCGTTTGAATTGTGCAACGAATTACACATATGATGTTTGTCAATTTAAAAGATAATTTTGCAAGTCAAAAAATAAAAATGTGTCATAAAACTGTGAAGTAACACATTTTTTTGTGTGAAGCGCTCAATGACCTACATCTCCCGTCTCGCAGGACACACCAAGACGGCCGTCACGTTAGCACATTTCACCTCTTTCTTTCAGAATGAAGTATTAAAAGAGGTGAAAATCAGTACATGGCCATGTTGAGAACTGTATACACACAAGGGGAGTTAGTCGTTCCGTAAGAGCCAGCATGCGGGACCGGGATTCTGGGATTTGTAGTCTTTCTAGTTGCGTATTTTTCACAGTCTTATATTTCAACAGTTGTTAGACAAACTGTGACTTTTTTGACATGGAAATTATTTTTTAAGACTGACAAACATCATATGTGTAATTCATGGCACAATTCAACTTTGACTTTGCCTACATAATTTTTCAGAAATAAGGTCCCACTTTATACAGTTGGGCTGAAAAGCAGAATGCAAACTGGAAAAAGATGGAAATTAAAAAGAGAAATAAGGACCTTCCCATCGTCTCTCGCTCCTTGCTGCTCTTCATCCCACTACACACACACACACACACACACACACACACACACGCACACGCACACACACACACTATGCATACAGTAGCCTATACACAGAGAGAGAGATCGAGAGACATAGACCCAATAACAAGTGCTGCAGTCCACTGGAACTGTATGATCTGTTCCCCAAGAACACTTTTTAGGACACACACACGCCCCCCCCCCCACACACACACACTTGCCACCCTCACTCCTAGATTCTCCTCCCCATATTTTCCCCTTCTTGACACGCACACGTACTGTAGTGACACGATCACATCATCAACACACACTCCCCTCCCCTCCCTCTCCACTCCTCCGGCGCGGCTTTACTGTGCTCTTCTCCAGACTCTACTGACTGTACAGTGTAACACCGGCGCGCTTCCTCCAAATGCGCCACTCTAATCTCACCATACAGTGCATTCCTCCTTAAGCAAGCCAGCAAACAGCCGCGCAGACACACTCATCTGCGGCTGTCAACTAAACAGCGTGCAAACCCCTTCCCTCCTCAAACCGAAAGATTTGAGGCTCTTCTCTTGTACAACAGCCTTGGGTTCTTGTTTTTTAAAGAGAGGCTAACATTTACTGTAAACACAGTCACGTGCATGAGCATCTTCTTAATGCAGCCGAAACAGAAGTCCTGACATGCGCAACCGAAAGAGCGCCTCAACAAGCCTGAAGAGTGCGAGGGGCTTTAAAACAGATGCGAAAGAAGGGTGGAGGTTGGACAAGGGAGAAATTAAGGTTTTGGTAAGACGCAGTAAATAAAGGAAGGCTTTACTCACCCTGCAGACCGGAGAGCTGGTCGGATGGTGCAGCCGACGAGAGATGTGTGCGCACTGGGAGACCTGACCACCAAATTTGCAGTTTTCCCCCTTATCTCTCACCCTCCCTCTTTGCTGCTCTCGCCGCACACTCTCTCTCTCTGTTTCTCTTTCGTGATTCCCTGTATCTCCCCTCTCCTCTCTTCTCACTCCTCCTCCTCCTCCTTCTTTACTTCACTCTGCTCTTTCAGCACTGCGGAGAATCGGTTGAATGGGCTTCACTGTAGTTTGGGTATAGGGAGGTGGGACTGGTGTGTGTGTATGTGTGAGGGGAGAGGAGGGGGGGTTACAGTGATGTAGGCTGAAGGAAGAAGAAGACGCGCAAAGACAGCATGGCATAAGAGGCTTAAATTGAGGGCACATGCAAGCTGACAGCATGACTGATTTGAACATAAAGCAACAATTAGCATTGTGTAACTCAATAATGAGCAAAACACACAAACATGGATATGCGGTGTGAGTGTGCAAGCATTGTTTTCTACATAATTACTGAGGGAAATGATTAACAGCAGAGAATACATTTCCAGTGCAGCCAGAGCAGTGACATTAACTCAAGTTTCATCCAAACTGCTGGTATTGGAACAGGTCTCTCTGCCTGAATCAAAAACATTTAATTTAAACTGTTTGCTTATGAAACATGTATGGGTCATGAAACAGTTACTTAACAAGCCATGATGAAATTATAAAAGTAAACATGACAATCAATAAGTTTAAATCTAACATTCTACTCATCAGTTATTCGGCATTGACTTTGCAGGCTGCTGTGTTCTGAGAGGAAATTAGTTTTGCAGCACACTAACAATGTCACAATCTTGGTGTTATGTCACTGTTTTAGTTTTGTCTGTCTGGTAATGGGTTTTGTTTTGCTGTCCTCTTCTCCCTGTCTCTTGTTTTCCTTCCTGTGTTTTTCCTCTTGTGTCTGATTGTCTCACTGTGTTCACCTGTTGCCCTTGTGTTTCTGCCTCCCTTACCCAGCTGTGTCTCGTCCCGTGATTATCCCTCTCTGTATTCAGTCTTGTCTTCCTCTGTGTGCCTTGTCGGTTCATTGTTTTTCCTGTCTCCCTCCATATTGATCACGATCGTTTTTGGTATTGTATCTTCCTCGTGTTACCTATGTGTTTCATGCCATGTTATTTATGTTCATCAGATTTTTTAATAAAGCTCGCTTTTGTTTTGAAACTCGCTTCCCTATTAATCTGCATTTGGGTCCTAACTTTTGCCGACCCTTAACAGAATGAACCGACCAACTTTGGACTCAGCAGACTCAGATTATTCCGCTCTACAGGCAGAATGTCTTGGGTACTCTCTGGAGTACATTTTTTACTCTTGGAATAACGCCTCATATAGACGGGGTAGAGAGGCTGCCTTGAAGGAGGCACGCCAGGAGGTTGCTCGCAAGCCCTGGCTCAGGAACTTGTTGCCTGAGTGGCTACAACTTCTCACAAGTAGTCCTGAAGACTTGTCTCAAGCCTCTAACCATTTCCTGTGGTATGATCAGGCCTTGGGAGGTCCACAGATCCGCCAAAAAATCTCTAAGAGACGCAAGACCAAGATTCCAACTCACACAGCCATGGTCCCAGCTCCAGTTCCGGCCCCAGCAGCCATGTTTCCGGCTCCAGTACCGGCCCACACAGCCATGGTCCCGGCTTCTGTTCCGGTCCAAGCAGCCATGGTTCTAGCTCCAGTACCGGCCACAGCAGCCATGGTCCCGACTCCAGTTTCAGTTCCAGTACTGGCTCTTCGGCCGACGCCAGCACCCCGTGTCCTGTCGGCGTGCCGGTCGACTCCAGCTCCTCGTCACCTGTTGGCTCTCCGGCCGACGCCAGCTCCCTGTGTCCTGTCGGCGTTCCGGCCGACTCCAGCTCCCCGTGTCCTGTCGGCATACCGACTGACTCAAGTCCTCTCTCGAGTCCCCTCTCGAGTCCATTCTCAAGTCCCCTCTCGAGTCTCTTCTCAAGTTCCCTCTAGAGTCTCTTCTCAAGTTCCCTCTCGAGTCCCCTTTCAAGTCACCTCTCGAGTTCCCTCTCAAGTCCCCTCTCGAGTCTCTTCTCAAGTTCCCTCTCGAGTCCCCTTTCAAGTCTCCTCTCAAGTCCCCTCTCGAGTCCCCTCTTGAGTCCCTTCTCAAGTCCCCTCTCGAGTCTCTTCTCGAGTTACCTTCTCAAGTCCCCTCTCGAGTTTCTTCTCGAGTTCCCTCTCAAGTTCCCTCTCGAGTCTCTTCTCGAGTCCCCTCTCAAGTCCCTACTCTAGTCCCTACTCTAGTCCCTTCTCAAGTCTCTTCTCAAGTCCCTTCTCAAGTCCCTTCTCAAGTACCTTTCCAAGTCCCTTCTCAAATCCCTTCTCATTTCCCTTCTCTAGTCCCTTCTCAAGTCCCAACCCCATGTCCTGTCCTGTTGGGGGTCCCGCCGACACCTGTCTCGCCGGGGGTCTTGCCAACTCTATGTCCTGTCCCGTTGGGGGTACCGCCGTCACCTCTCTTGCCGGGGGTCCTGCCAACTCCTTGTCCTGTTTTGTTGGGGGTTCCACTGAGGGTCCTGCCAACTCCACGTCCTGTTCCGTTGGGGGTCCAGCCGACACCTGCTCCGCCAGATTTCCTGCCAACACCAGATTCTGTCCTGTTGGGGGTCCCTACGACACCTGCTCTGCCAGATTTCCCGCCAATACCTTGTCCTGTCCTGTTTGGGGTCCCGTCAACACCAGCCCTTGCTCCGTCCAGGGTCCCGTCTACGCCTGTCCCGCCAGGGGTCCCACCAGCGCCTGCTCTCGATCCCAGTGCTCCGGTGATCCAGCTGACCCTGGAGGGGTCTCATTACGGCGTACGCCGTCCTCCGGAGCTATCCCGTCACCGCCATCGTGCCCATCCTCCGGAGCTGTCCCGTCGCCGCCTTCTTGCCCGACCTTGTGCCCGGCCTCCTGAGTTCCCCAGCGGCTTTCGCCCACGAGCCCGGCCCCCTGAGTTCCACAGCCACGGCCTTCGCCATCGAGCCCGGCCCTCTGAGTTCCCCAGCCGCCGCCTTCGCCTTCGAGCCCGGCCCCCTGACTCTTCCAGCCGCTGCCTTCGCCCTCATACCCGGCCCCCTGAATTTGCCTGCTGTGGCCTTCGCCCCTTTTTGTACTCTGCCTTGCCCCCGGGCCGTCCGCCCGAGACCCCCTCCATGTTCTCTGCCTTGCCTCTGGGCTGTCGACCCAGACCCGTCCTCCGGACCCCCTCCACCAACCCTTTTGGAAATGTTAGACTTTGTTTTGGACGTCTGGAATCCGTCCCTTGAGGGGGGTTCTGTCACGATCTTGGTGTTATGTCACGGTTTTAGTTTTGTCTGTCTGGTAATGGGTTTTGTTTTGCTGTCCTGTTCTCCCTATCTCTTCTTTTCTTTCCTGTGTTTTTTTCCTCCTGTGTCTGATTGTCTCATTGTGTTCACCTGTTGCCCTTGTGTTTCTACCTCCCTTACCCAGCTGTGTCTCGTCTCGTGATTATCCCTCTCTGTATTCAGCCTTTTAATCTGCATTTGGGTCCTAACTTTTGCCGAACCTTAACAAACAACCTGGTTGATTGAAAGGTACTTAGTAATAAGCATAGTTTAAACTATTGTAACGTTCCACAATAGGAGTCGGAAACAGGCCTCAAGTAGGTTTAATAACTCCTTTGGTAGCATACAAAGTTCATAGGTCAAAGGGTGTTTCTCAATCTCGAGTATGCTTGCTTGGTAGCACATGTCTTCCGAGTCACTTGCTTCAGAAGCGAGGCAAGAATACTTCCTGGCATTCAGAAAACAAAGAGTGGAACAGGCGAGCAAGTGTGCAGGTGTGCGTCATATGAGAGGCCCCGCCTTACATTTTCTGCCACAGATTTGGGGAAATTGGTCCGTGCGCAAAGCATTGTGGGGATTTTAAGACCGCGGAGTATACACATGTGCAGCCTCGAAATTTCTCCAAACAAAGTACGCCGGGCTCAGTAGAATTCCAAGTATGCTGGACATTGGAACAGTACTTCGGCGGCACTCGATTACGTAGTATGCTTGAAATAGTGGCTCTGGAGCAGCTTTACTCGAGATTGAGAAACACCCATAGACTGTATGGACCTAGTGTCCGTGACGTCACCCATAGGATTCTGCAGAGTTGCCGAGAAGCCTAAAGTAGGCGGTGTCGGCCATTAACGGCTCGACAGTGACGTCAGAGTCTAACTCCCGCCTGCTCCAGCCTGATCCAAATAAGGGCAAAGAGGCGGAGCCGAGGCGGGACCTCCTGCCACCGAGCTGGAAGTTCCAGACCTAGCTGAGGCTACCAAGCTAAGCTAACATGATCAGCAGTGCGGCTCTGTGATGCTAGCCGGCTAACCTACATCTGTTGCTCCCGGTCTGTACGTTTTACGTTGCTTAAGGTAAGTGAAGTGAACATGAAACTATTCAGCAAAACTTTCAATAATAACCTAAGGTATTGAGTTTTTGGGATAATACTTGCATACAAATCTTAAAATGCCTTCAGGTTTCTAAAATATATATCTTGTGATAAATTCAACAGTGGATCCAGCAAAGATTCAAATATGTGCATGATTTTAGTTATTGACTTTTTGCTGTTATAATTATACTTTTAATAAATTAAATTCAAGCTTAGTTACATGTGATGGTAGCTAGTTAGTGCTCTTACCTGTGTGCCTCCTCCACAACCAGACTGTTTTAAAACTCTTAAAGGTGGGGTAGGTAATTTTGGAGAAACCAGCTTGCGTGCGCTAGAATTTGAAAATACACAGCCGGAAGAAATCTGCTGCTTCCTTACAGAGCCCCTCCTCCAACACACACGAACGCGCACGTGACCAATGAGGGCACGAGATAAGTTTGTGCACAGATGGAAGGCTGACCGGCAGGTAGGCCATCCAGTTATTTTAGCCGGGCCGGCTCAGATGATTGGTCGTGCTTTTTACAGTACTACGGCTTCCACAGATGAACTTTTTGTATGGATTTTTTGTCAAAGCACTTAAGATATTCATTGCTATCGGGATGTTAAGAGCATTCCATGGAATATAACAAAAAGTGTATCTCGAGCCGGTTTCTCAAACTTACCTACCCCACCTTGCAAATGCAAAAAAAACAGTATGCCTGATGTTCAGTGTGCAACTCGATTTTGACAGGATAACAACTGGTGACTTCTAGAATTGTGTGAGTAA